CTTTCTGAATAAGGGTTTCTTCACTTAGTGTAATGTTTTCCAGTTCTATTTATAGTTCTGTAGATTTCATAATTTCACTTTCCTTTACAGCTGAATAAAATTCCATTGTGTGTTTGTACCCCCATTTTCTTTAACCATTTATCTGTTAATGGTAACCTGGGGTGATTCCTTTTCCTTGCTATTATGAATAGAGCAGCAAGAAACACAGATGTGCAAGTTCTCTGTTATAAAATACAGAGCGCTTTGGAGATTTGACAAGGATGGTAGGGTGGAGTCAAATTTTAAGTCTTTTTTTTTAAGTGACCAAGAAAAGTCCAAACTGTTTTTATTTTTATTTTTGAGACACCCAACCCTGTTCCAATAGTTCTTGTACCAGTTTGCATTCTTGTCAGCAGTAAGTTAAGATTCCCTTGAATCTCAGTGCCATGAGTGTGAGCTACTTTGCTGTGACTTGTTTGTCAGGGAGGTTCCTGAGGTCCCGAAAGCAATGCAGGCATTTGTTACTGCTGTGGAGTGCCCACCAGGACAAGACTTTAAGAGCCTGTTGCTGAGGACATTACATACTTTGGTTAGACAGAGAAATCAAGTTGGACTTGGGCGAGAAGATTCCTTCTGTTGTTCAGCGCTCAAGTCCCTGATGGTGATGAGAGACCACCGCTGGGAGTGAATTGTCATCAACAGTCACATGTAACTGTGAGTGATGCATAGAACAGTATAGAGAGGTCAGGCAGGATGTTCCCATTGGTAACAGAGTGGCAAGTTTGCTGTACTTGGATTTGAAGTATCCTCCACAGGAGGAAATTCTTGTCTGGTACTTCATATCTAGCCCATGGACAAGAAGAAGATCACAGTCCTCAATGGAGAAGTAACTGCTGTTATTTTGCTAAATGGGTATGATATGCCCGTACAATTGACTTCTATACGATTATTTCTTACCCATAGATTGATTACTGCTCTCAGCCGATGATTGGAACAGCTTCTGTTTTTCTCTTTCAAGTTTATAAATATGAAAAGCAAAGTTTCAGTGATTGGAGGGTGCTTCCCAGAATCATGCCTTTCCTTCCTCACCCTATGACTAGCTTAAGGATGTTAATATGAATGATGTAATAAATTGAGACACACAAAAAAACAGTTATTGTAAATGCTATCCTGAAAGACTTCATTTAGCTCACAATTTAGAATGCATAATTTTTAATTATATGAGATCATTAGCCAATTTGAAATTCCATGGACTCACATGTGAAATCTCTGTAGTGCTGGGTCAAAAGGGATGAGAGCATTTCAGTGGGTCCTGACATCACTCTCTTCTTTAAGAGAAGGGATTCTTACCAGGATAGCTAGGTATTTCTTTCTAAATGCCCTAAGAACTGATAGAAGTGTGAACACCTTGGATCAATAGTAACTGCTACTTTAAAATTTGAAATGACCCTTTCAACCCCATCTCCAGAGCCTCTCATTGTGTCCTAGCCACAGCTCTTCTTCATTGATTTTTGCTTCATTTGTCTGTGAAAACTCATAGTCCTTTGAGCTACATCCTGGAAGCGTGAGCAGATAAATTCCTCTCCTTTCTCCCAGTGGAATGTCACATCAGTTGTCACTTATACCTTTCACATGTGCTTACTTGGGGAACAGGATTAGTAATAAGTTAATGTATTATAAGCTTATTCTTTGACATGAACTATATTGTGGGTTTCATATATATTTTCTCATTTAGTCAATGCAAGAACGTTTTAGGAACAACTTGAAGTCAGAGCTAATGTGACTCAGGTCAGGGAGGTGTACTTTTAGGTCTAGTGATTAATTTTACTAAAAAATAGCAAGTATTTGCAGAGATGACAGCATTTGTTGTATTTGTTGAAGAGCCAATGAAGATGAAAATTTATCTTATAAGAAAAAATAAAAAGGAAACACAGATTAAAAGCTTAATTTTACTTACTTACATGATCTAATTAATAACATAAGATTCTTGCTAAATATTCATTTTACTAAATGGTTAAGGACAGAATGCTTCAGGTATATGGTTCTATGTAGCTCTTTGGTATGCAAAGACCAGTATGGGTGGGTATTCATTATCCAAATAGGAGTCAGGGATGGTTACTGGCTAGAAAGAGATATCACTCTAGAAAAAGAACCATAGGGGCTGGAGAGATGGCTCAGAGGTTAAGAGCACTGGCTGTTCTTCCAGAGGTCCTAAGTTCAATTCCCAGCAACCACATGGTGGCTCACAACCATCTGTAATGAGATCTGGCGCCCTCTCCTGGCATGCAGGCACACGTGCAGACAGAACACTGTATACATAATAAATAAATAAATCTTTAAAGAAAAAGAAAAAGAACCATATAGAAAAATAATCATAATTTGAGACATTGACATTTGTAGTTTTGTAGATCAAAGCTGGTCACATGTAGGCAGTTTCATTATTTTGACTTCATATTTGACTATGTAATGATTTATGATGTAAAAGCTTTTGAATATTTCCTCTAAGAATGTAAAATGAGCAAGGTGGTGCTGGCACATGTCTTTAATCCCAGCACTTGGGAGGCAGGCGGATCTCTGTGAGTTTGAGGCCAGTCTAGTTAGAGGCCAGTCTAGTCTACAAAGTGAGTTCCAGGACAGTCAAGGCTGTTTCATAGAGAAAACTTGCCTTGATAAAAAAGAAACAAAACAAAACAGCAACAAAAAAGAAAAGAATGTAAAACGAAAATAAGAATAAGGGGAAGTCTCTATTGCTCATCACACAGTTACAGTTGTTTGTGTTAGAAGTGGACATGAATTTAGCCTCAGCAAAGATTTATTAAGTATTATGGGAAATACTTTCTATTTCAAGAGAAGAATAACAATCCTTGAAGTCACATAATTTAGATTATATGAAAGTGGAAAGTAAATACAAGGAAGCACTTATCAGCATCAAATGTTTCTGTTATAAAGATTTATAGGTGGGAATCATCATTTGCTTTTCATATTTGTCCCTAAACAGGACACATATTGAATCTTAGATACTCTCAGCACAATAGATATTTTCAGATTATTATTTTATATACATTTATATTTAAAATTTAAAGGTGGGGATAGTCAAAAATTTCTGACCTCTCATGAATGAAATAAACAGTCGAAGTAAAATGCTGTGACTAAGGTATTAATCATATTTTAAAGTGAGTTTTTTAGTTTGATTAAAGATATTTTACATCTTTATTACTTATTACTAATCCTGTTCCCCAAGTAAGCACATGTGAAAGGTATAAGTGACAACTGATGTGACATTCCACTGGGAGAAAGGAGAGGAATTTGTCTGCTCACGCTTCCAGGATGTAGCTCAAAGGACTATGAGTTTTCACAGACAAATGAAGCAAAAATCAATGAAGAAGAGCTGTGGCTAGGACACAATGAGAGGCTCTGGAGATGGGGTTGAAAGGGTCATTTACAGGCGAGGATGATATTTAAATGAGAAGACAATGGTAAGAAGCAAAATGAATTTTTAGAGCAACAATAGCCTACTTATGGGGATACTTTAGACCAGTGGTTCTCAACCCTGCTAATGCTGCGACCTTTTAATACAGTTCCTCATGTTGTAGTAATCCTCAATCACGAAATTATTTTGTTTGCTACTTCATAACTTAATTTTGCCACTGTTATGAATAGTCATGCAAATACCTGTGTTTTCTGATGGTCTTAGGAGACTGCTGAGAAAGGGTCATTTGACTCATGAAGGGGTTGTGACCCACATGTTTGGAACCTCTGATTTAGATGGTAGTAGAGACACCAGAGACAGATTGGATGTTGATAGATCAAGCTTTTTAACTTTTTAAATTATTTACTTAAAAGTTTTTGATATTATACTATTATTACATTTCTCCCTTCCTTTTCCTCCCTCTAGTTCCCCCTTATATGCTTTTCTTTGCTCTCTTTCAAATTCATGCCCTCTTTTTTATTATTATTGGATGCATCTATGTATTTGTATATATAAATATATGTATCCATAAATATAACATGCTCAGACTGTTACGTTTTTAGGGCTAACTATTTGGTATTTAATAACAAATGGTGTGCTCTTCCCTGGAGAAGACTATTTCTCCCACTCTTAGGATTCCTTAGTTGCCTGTAGTTCCTTGTGTAGGGATGAGGCCTCATGGAGTTATCCTTGTTTACTTTGATATGTCTATTGGTATTATCCTTGTTCAGTTTGAGTCATCATGTTGGTGAGATTTTTTATGGGTTCAGCTTCTGATATCCCTAGGAAATACAATCTCACAGCAAACTCTATCTTCTGGCTCTTACAATCATTCTGCACTCAGTTCCACAGTGTTTCCTGAGCATTAGGTGAGGGTGTATTTTACTATTCAGTGCTAGTGAAGTTGTGGATGTCAAAGGAGAACCTACAATCATTACTTTAATAAACCAGCATAACCCCTAACAACAATCTAAACATTTGTCCTTATACCCAAGATAAGTGCAGTCTTCATTCATCATCAAGGAAACTTCTCTATGCAAAGATGGAGACTACTATAGAAAGCCACAACCCATCAAAATGCAGAGTTATGAAGCACAGTCCTAACAGATTAAACATTTAAAAATTATTATATTCTAAATCTTTTATAATTCACATGGACCAGAGCTATCTTTTCAAGTAGATCACTAGGATCTAGTTATAAGGTTAAAAATCAGTTGTTTTCTCCTGCTATACAATACAAACTTACTCATAAAAACTGCTTGGCTTGTACTTTGTGCACATTTAAATTTACAGATGATACAAACCAAAGTATGAACTGTTAAGGGTAAGTATAAATCTTAACAAAAACAAAAAAAATTTATAGACATAGTGCTTATTTCATCCACAGAAGTCAATGAAGATAAAAATTCATGTTATAAGAAAGAATAAAAAAGGAGTTGATAATTAAATGCTTAATTTCCTTCACTTATGCACACTAATGAATGCCATGAGATTCATTATAAGGACTATACATTTTGTTAGATGATTAAAAAGTTGACAAACATCTACTAAATGTCATTAAATATGCTAAATAATTAAAAATTGAAGGGAAACCAGGCAACTTTTCAGAAATTGACAATGGCAAGCTCTCTTTGTTTATTCTGCTTAGAATAAAGTAGCATGGACTAGTTGGCTCATGACTAACACAGACTCATAGTTTCTCATAGTTCCAAAGCTGAGAGACATACCTAACGCCAGCATGGTCAGATTTTGATGACATGTTACAGGTGACAACTGACTTATTTTTTTCCTCCAGTGGCAGAAAAGAAGGTGAAAGTGTTCTCTGGGATACCTTTTATTTGGGCTTTCCTTCCATTCATGAGGGTTCCAGGCCATGACCTCATGAATTTCCAAAGACTTCACATAATGCTATATAACACTAATGACCAGAGTGAAGTGATGCAATTATTCTGTTCCTACAATGGACTAGTACAGAAAGAGGCAATGGCAGAGGCACAATGAAATAAAACTAGAAGAAAAATTAATGTGTCAATTTTCTTTTGATGAACTTGAGATCTTTGTTCCACGGTTTATAATCTCAGCTCCCTCAACAGCTTGCTTACTAATCTTACCACAAACATTGGAAAGAAAGATGTAACCCACAACTTTTTAAATTAAGTTTGTCATGAGAAGAATGTTTAAATTAAGTTAGATGCTAAGCAAAAGAAATGAAATTCAAACGTTGGTTAATAAAGTGCCTAAGAAGATAGTAAATATCCAGGCATGCAGTGCAGCAGACTGTATGTACTCCTAACCTACAAAGTCTCAGCAGTAATGCACTCTGGGAAATCAGCCCCAGGCCTTCTGGGAGAGGATAAATAAGCAAGGAGGGGAGGAGGGGACCTTTGTTCTGTCTCTGAACTAGCTCTTTACAAGTTTAATCAAATTTGGAATTCGAGGGTTAAGGCTGAAAACTTTTAGAGCAGATCTGGTTTTGCTCAGATGATAATAGCATCACTCCAGAGATTCCCAGCCAGTTGTCAGGGATATACACAATGAGGTTCAGCTCTACAGTGTGGGAGCCGGCAAAATCTAGGTAGAAGTGATAGACCCCAGACTCAGGGCACTATCCTCTAAGGTGGGCGCCCCAGAAACCCGGATTCCAGACCAGTTGCTGCAATCACATGAAGCTTTATTTTAACCGTTTGCACACACAATCCCTACACAATTCAGTGAGAGGAGCCCCGAACAATAATTGCAGGCATCTTTTAAAGTCAAAAACCACAAAAATTAACATAGCGTTCGGGGCAATACACAATTGGCTAGTTTAAAGATCAGCACCGGAGAGGGGGAGTACAGCTATGGGGACTTTCCATGGGGGCTGCTTTTCTTCCTAGAATAGCCACAGGATCTTCTGCTAGACCCAGACAACGTCACAAGGTTATTCTGCTGATGCCACGAGAAATATGACAAGAATATTTCTGCTGAGGCTAACGGTTTGGGGACCTGGTTTGGGGGCCCGAGGCTGGTACTCGTTCCTCTTTCTCATGTTTAATTCTTTCAGAAGGTCCTGAGGATCTATGTGGGTTGAACATTTCTGATTGGTTCACTGATGTTGAGCTTAGCCTTATAACTTTTTTGGTCAATGAAATGTTATAGTATCTAAAAAGGCATATTTTAAAAATTCTGATTATATTCTGTATTCTATGTCTGTCTCCTGGGATCCTTAGGTAGTGGCTGCATCATCAGTCTAGGCCTATATTGCATGTATGTATCTGAGATCAAGCTCAGACTGTAGCCTTAGGTAAAGGCTAATTGATCCACAGCCTGAAGCAGGCCTACTCATCCAGACAAGCCTTGCTGAGTCACTGGAACCTAGTGTCCCTCAGACCTGTGAGTGCAGTGATATCTCACTATGATTGTAAGCCATTGAGTTTTTATGTGACTTATTTTGGAGCGTATTGTCAAAATAGGAAACTAATAGGATTATCAAAGTGCATGTGTATAGTTTCCTTTCAAAATCTTTAATATTATCCCTGGGTATTTGCTATTAATATTTATTAACAGGAATTTTTACAGTAACAGTTTTTCATCGTCAACTGCACAGCCTGCAGCTTTTGTCCTAAGTGTTCTCAGCCCCAGTTCACCTGGAAGACTCATCAGGAGCAAAGATAACAACTACCCTTTAGCTAGATCCTCTTAGTATTTTGAAAATATTTCATCAGTTCATAAATGCATGGATTCAGCCAGTGAATATCAAATGTGATCCATGCATGTATTTGCTCATTAGAGAAAAGGCCCAATCAGTCCACATGTTTAGTAAAAGCACCAAGAAAGTCGTTTTCTTCAAGAACATCTGTCAAAAAAATCTTTCTGCTGAGTCATTGATACCCAGGAGATTCTGCTGAGTCATTTATCCCCAGAAGATATGTTCACATTTTCATACCATTATGAGAAGTGATTATATTTGCAGAAAGGAGTAGAAATAACAGTGATGCGGCATGATCTGAGGGGTGTCTCTGAGTTGGGGGTCCTTAGTATATATGAACCACTGTTTGGTATAAAGATGTGTTGTTGTTTCCTTATTTTAGAGAGGCTGATTCTGAACTGGAAAGTTTTGTAAAATACGAATAATTTCTCTATGAGGGGATAAGAAAAAGGAGAATTTTGAATCAAACTGAAAATTGTTTCTGTAAATTAAATGTCTACCCCAAATGGAGTTTAAAAAGCAGTCAACTTTAGAGAGAAGTGTGTTTGATTGTTTTAATGAAAAAATTTTATGGAATTTATTTTGATCATATTCTTTCCCCTCTCCACACTCCTTCCAGGTATTTTCTACCTCTCTACCCAGCAAACGTCATGTCCTCCTCCCCCCAAAAAGAAAAGGAAAATAACAAAACCCACAAAAATCAAAACAAATCAACAAACAAAATACCAAAGTAAACAAATCAAACAAACAAAAAGCACACAATAAACAGAGTGTATTTTTTGTTGGTCAAGGACTCCTGGGCATGGGGCCTGCCCTGGCATGTGACTGAAATACCCTGTGTTAATCCACTGGATGAAACTGATTTTCTCTTTCCCAACAGTTATCAGTTGGAAATTGTTCCTTGGTAAGATTTCCGGCTTTGCGTCCAATTCCCTCATCTGTGCTGGAATTTTGTCTGGTTTGGACTTGTGTACATGTTTTTTAATGTGAACACAGTAATCTTTCTTTTGATTTCTAGCATGCATCATGATTAAAGTGCTTTGTAATGTACATATTCCATCCTTGACTGAACTACTTACCAAGTTTGAATGATTTTCTAAAGAAAACATTTTCATTCTTAACCAATTTTGTTATCAAACGACTCTCTTTTCATTATTAAAAATTTACAACTTAGTTGTTAAGGCCAAAACATTAAAAATCCTATCAAAATAATAGTAACAGTAACAAAATAATATCCAAAAGTGTACTGTGTGTTGGGCAATGTTATAAGAGTTCTGCGTGCCTTATTTCAATTATGCCTCACAATACTCTTTTTATATGGACACCATTATTACTCCTGTCTTATAGATAAGAAAAATAAAAGTTTAATTAACCTCTCAATGTCACACAGAGAGTAAATGATAAAAGTAAGATTCTAACCCAGGCAATCTCATTTTAAAGCCTGGATTCTTAACCATTTATACTGGTCAATTACTAATGCTGTAACCTGAAAGACTGATCTAATTAGGATGCTTATTGGTCATAATTTCCCTCTCAAGGCATTGGAACAACTAAAATCCATCTTTAGTAACTGGCAAAGACCATCTCATTGGCACAGCAAAAGGCCAGGATGTCAACAGGTGGAACAATTGTATGCCAGATGTAAGACAAATTGCTAAACGGTCTTATGAATAAAAAACCCAGAGCCAGATATTGGGGTAAAAACTGAGAGATCAGCTAAGCAGAAAGAAGACAGCCACATTCTTACCGCTAGAAATCCTCAGCCAAAGAGAGCCCTTCTTCCTGCATACCCATGACAGTATGCCTTTCTGTCCCTGCCCTCTCACTTCCTCTCTCCACCCAGCTACACTTGACTTTGAAATTGACTGATTCTTTTTTTCCATGTATCCTTTGGTAGGAATGATCAGAAAAATGATAAAAGTTTAATTTTGAATATGGAGCTCTTTTTTCTTTTTTCTTTTTTATTTTATCGAATTACCAAAGTTTTAAGTTTTATGAATGACAATTGAAAGAACTGGATTATCAATTTCCACAGCAAAACTAGAACAAAATTCTAGTAAAAGCAATGATTAAATTTTGTTTTTTTGTAATTTTGGAACAACATGAAAATAAATATTGTTTGCATAATTGGTGATCAAACATTTATTTTGCAATAGGACATTGGGATGTTTCTAAGAGTTTGGAAGTGTAGCATTCATTTAAAAGCCGAGCATGAAGATGCACATTTGTAATTGCAGTACTGTGAGGGTGGAGACAGTACACCCTGATGCCCTTGCTGGCCAGCCAGTTCAGCCAATCAGTGAGCTCCACATTCAGTGAGAAACCTCCAGGGATAGAGGAAGTTACAATGTCAACTGAGCACACACAGGCAAGCACACCTGCACATATAAGTGCACACACACACAAGGGTACACACACACACACACACACACACACACACACACACACACACACACACAGCACACACATCCTCCTTAACCCCACAGTTTCCAAGTTCCTAGATTCATGGTGCCAGTCACTAGGTTGTTATTCAACATAAATGTGATTGGCTGGGAAAACTGTGGAGACTGATCCATTTGAACAGTCCTGGTGGTTGATGTTATTTTAGAAATACTTTGCAGTCCTTTCTTGGAAGGGTAGATCTTGCCACTGTTTTACATCCCATTCTGTGTGAAATAAAGATCTGAAGTCAACTTGAAATAATGATGGAACTTGTTAGTTTTCATTGCAGAGCAAGCACCATCATTTTCCAGATCAACATAATGAGACCAAAGAAGCCTATTTAATATCAGAGCTTGATTTGAAGTAAAATTGGACATCTTGAACAAGGCAGAATTCCATCACAAGTTAAGTAAAAGTGCAATTATCCTTTCTCAGAATCCTAGATACCTTCAATTATGATATAGGAGAGACAATCACAAAACCAGATGCCTAAGTGTAATCAAAAGCTTATATAAGAGAGGGAGGTCAGTGAGTTAATAGATGTGGAATAATGATGTGTATTTTTTTATCATCTCGCAGGGTTTACCAACCCTCTCCAATTGCTGAGTTGCAAGGATTTCTGAGGATGTGAAGCTTCAGCATATGATATATACGGGATTCAAAAGGACATTTGAGAAGTCACATGTGTTGAACTGCCTCTGCCCTTTTCTCATTCTAGTCACTATGAAGTAAAAAGAGTATGCTTGCAAATGTACATAGGACCTCCTGCATAAGGACAATTAATTCCCTCTGTTGAAGATGTTTGTAACATCGATTAGTTGAAAACTTTGAACATAATTCTGAAATGAACCAAATAAAGATGTACAGTCCATAAAACTTGATCCACATTGAATTATACACACATCCTGGGTATTGATGCTTTGTAATAATATAACTCCCTCGGGCATTTTTCTATTGACTACTGTAGAATAGCTAAGTAAGTCAGAGCAATTTTATGTGTTAGTTTCATTTACCTGCTTTAGATTCCTTAGATCCTTTGATTGATTTTAATGAAGTTTTATTCTGTGAAATGCATTCTGGCAGGCTTTTGGCTAGCTATTTTTTAGAGTTTCATCTGTCTAAGCATGATAAATGTTGCTATGACTAAGGAGATAGTTACATTAGATAAAAGTTACTTGTAAAATGTTATAGTAGATAAAGTTAAACTTGCAATTTGCATTTGAAGACAAAACCTACAAGCAAATACACCAGAAGCTGCATGTGCAGCCTTCAGTTTGAATGGGTGAAAGACTAACAGCTGGCTGACTACGGAGGTGGGAGGTGGAAGTGAAGTCCCTCTGCTAAGGCTGTTGGTTGTGGTTGCTTGCTTGCTCTCTACGCATGCGCTGTTCTCTGGGAGCTGCTGCTATCGTTGCTCTATGTTTTATTTTTCATGTGGAGATTGTTTCATAGAGCATAAATCAGAGTACAGGGTATGCTTGTCATCACTTCACTAATACACTTGTCTTTTGACTTTAAGAGGTGAAGGTAAATGGAACTGTGTGTTTGACCCTCATGGGGACAGTTATACATTTTCCTAGGCCACAGCTCTTCTTGGCAATAAACACTGCCATGTTAAACCAACTAAGCATGTTATTTTCTCTATTTCATGAAGAAATTTCACAGAGCTTTGAGAAAACAATGTAGAACTTCTGGCTACTTCAGTGGTTTAGAAGTGTGGGATAAGTATACAATGACTCTTTTGTCCCTTATATTGTACCAACACTGGTAACATTTGCTTCTTTCCCAGTTCCTAAATCAGGACTCCTAAACCCCTTGGAATACCTTGCATGCATCTTTAGTTATAAAGCAACTACTGGTGGACTTCTCTGTAGTGTCAGGATGGGGTCTTATCAACAGAAAAACCCAGTGTAGTAGAAGCCTGGAATAGTCCTACACCCTCTGATCTCTGAGACAAAGTTGAGGATGGAGATTAATGGATTAACAGCAGGTTATGCTTATAAGATTCATGAACTGATACATATCCTAGGAAGTTGCTGTGGCATAACTCCAAGGGACAGACAATCCTGTACCTCTTCATGTAACTATTCATATAATAAACCAACAAACACAAACATACATGTCTTTCTGATTTCTGTAAGCTATCTTAGCAAATTACTGAAGTGGGGAGGTAGTCTTTTTCATATAACAGCCTTATAGCTGTTATATGAAAAGTTTGGGTTATCCCGGAATTTGGAACTAGCATCTGGCGGGAGAGGAATCTTTTAAGAGTAAGCCCTTAAACTATGAGATCTTTTAACTTAGCCATTAGTGACAGAATTGAATTGAATTTTTTAACACCTGGTTGGTGTTTGGAAAACCAGACAATTAGTCATTGGCATTGGCAAATACTCAAGTGTAGGGAAATTAAGTAGTTCGATTTCTACTGCATGTTACTGTCCCCAGATAAATCTAGAGATATGCAAATATTACGGTATGCTCAAACTATGCCTTTTCAATGAAATTCAAGGGGCTAGAGGGATGGCTCAGCAGTTAAGGGCACTTCGCTGCTCTTGTAAAGAAATAGGGTCCAGTTCTGAGCAGTGATGTGGTAGTTCACAACTGTTTATAACTCCTGTTCCAGGGGATCTCTTGGTCTCTGTTGGCACTAGGCACATATGTGGTGAGCATACATACATACACAGAGGCAAATGCTAATACTCATAAAAAGAAATGAGTAATTATTTAAAAGCAATTCAAGAGCAAGTGGTAGTTATGGTGACAAAGATGATTCGGATAACTAGGTTAATAACCAAATGTATGGAATAGTTACTAAAAGTCATTCATTGATCAGAGCATTTTTCATACATTGTTTTATTTAATTGTTAGACCAATGCACAAGATAGCTATCATTATCCCTTCCAGTTTAAAAATGAGTAAATAGAGTCTTGCCAATACTATAATAATAAATAACTCTATTAGGGTCACATATCTAGTGTCAGGCGGCCTAGGAACCCAGGTAAAAGAACCTATAGCCATTTTCCAATCAGACAGCTATGAAGATGAAGGGTCATAACTTCCACATAGTCAGGTTTGTAGAAAACTAAGCCCCAAACTTGCTTACCAGCCTAGAAAACAAAAGCCAAGTTTAACTGACATGTAAGCACTGGCTTGAAATAGGTCCTTCAACCACATAAGGGAAAGATTTTTGGAGGAAATGATCAGTAGGAGACTGGGTGACAATAGCAGTTGGTTTTGTGGCGGTTGGTGTGATAAGAAGCACAAGAGGTGTTTATCTGGCCACAGGTTTTCCAAGAGAAGTATGTAGTGGAAAGAATGGGGATATTTAAGCACGTTGGTTAGCTGATGTGTGTTGTGGGATCTTACCTTCTATAGCGGAGGTCCATGGCCTGGTTTTAGTGCTGATTCTGGCAGAAGAAGATGCCAGGGTTAGAGTCTAGACCACTCTAAACAGAAGCTCATGACACAAGAATTCTTAAGATTTTTTATTTACTTTATGTAGGTGAGTGCTTTGCCTGTACTCTGTATATGCATGGACACAGTGTATACCTGGTGTCCATGGCCAGAAGATCTCATAGAACTGAAGTTATGGACCATTGTGAGGTGCCATGTGATCGCTAGTGTCTGAACCTGAGTGCTCTATAAGAAGAGCAAGTACTCAACCCCTGAGCCATCTCTCCATCTCCCAACGATGAATTTTGTGTATTCTTATGGAAGATTTATTTCTGGATAGAGGTATGTAGACCCAGGGTGTTTGGGGTTTGTTGGAGGTTGGAGGATGTACTTGCAGTTGTCTTTTGTGTTGGGTAAGTCAAAAGCAAGGCTATTGGTTCTTGCCATTTGTGTGGGGAAAGAGGGATTGGAGAAAGGAACATAAAATGATTTAGCTTGCCCCTCTAGTATCAGCAACTTTAATGTGTTTATTTTAATTCTGAATGTTCTGTTCATCTGATATTATTAATTTTAGTTTACTGCTGAGAATAAATAAAACATGGGGCTTTAAAAAAAACACTCCAAAGTTATAAAAGTAGTGGGAAAATCTAGGCTTTAAATCCAGCTCAACTGACTCCAGATACTTTGCTTTTTATACAATAGCATGTGGTGAGACATATTTTGTTAGCTGGAAGTCTCCTGCCTGAGTCTACTAATATGAATTGTGAACATATGGTCATGCCTGAATCTTGTCTAGACCTTTTGTTAAAACAAGGAGACAACTGCTGTGACCTATGGCTTGTGTTTTCCCCCAAGTTTGTCTCAATGTTTTAAGAAAGCAAGTATTGCATGTCTATACTCAGCTTTCACTGAACGTTTCCACAGTCATCACTAATAATTCTGACAGATAATAGGAGGGGATTGAAACAGAAGTTGTTATTTGCAGGGGCTGTGAGAGAGCTTGGCTTTTCTTGTAGAGATGGATTGGGAAGCACCAGCTGTTGTGTCATGGGCTCTGTCTTAAACAGTGTTCCTCATCCTCCACATCCCAGTCATCACACAGATTCTCCACACAACTTCACTGCATCACTGTCAACTTGAAACCGTAGTTGAGGAAGAAATTTCTGCCTGAGCTTACTCCAGGGTCTGGGTGGACATTGGCTCTCTCCAGTCACTGACTCCTGGTTGTCATAATTTCCACATAGCATAGTGCTCTGTATGCCATCTAATGACTACTCCATCCTGGTAGAAAACAAGTACTCAAGGTAGCAGTATTTTCACCCCTTTGTACCCCCTTATTTTTCTAAGTATCTAATAAGTCTTTGTTAAGATGAGAAATTGTAGCTCCAGGGAGAACTGCTTGAGGCTTCTTTACTGGACAGGCATGTTAAGGGGTGGAAAGGTCCTAAGTAGAAACCCTGAGGCATGGGCAGGAAAATGCACTTGGCTGAGAATGTTCTAGACAGTAGTTGAAGGATATTTTTCAACATAGGTAGCTAGTTACAGGGTCTGGCTATTGGTCCCACCTCTGCAAGTCTCTGAATTTGGATACAGCCCTTAATGCAATCACTCACTTCTTTGTTTATTGCCTAACAAGGTAACATTGGCTAATCTATAGAATGACATACCATGAGAGTTCTTTGATTTTTATCAAGTACTGCATGAACAAAGAATATATCTAATTATTTATACTAAATAACTAGTCTTATTTAGAAAGGAGCCTTAAGAACCCAAAACTGAATAACATAACAAACAATAGGAAAAAAAAATGGAACATTAGAAATCCATTTACTTCAATGAAAATACCTGACATTACAATAAAAATAATTTTAATGTAACACCTTGCTTTAAAATGTTATTAGAAACTGTCACACCATATAATCATGCACGCCTCCTGCATTCTAATGAAAATAAACTGTTGTTTCTTTTGAGCCTGTCTCCAGAGGAAAGTCCTCAGGGATAAACCCAGTCATTCAGTCGCATAATAATACGACTGTCTTTCTGTGTCCTGGCAGACAGTGATGTACAGAGGAGAATGCAGAAGGCAGTGGGAATGAAAACTGAATGTGGCGTTTTTTGTCATGACTTTATTTCCTACAGCTGACTGTCTTAGATACTTTCTTTCATTTCATTCTCAGTAAGCTATAGTTTGACTCTACATTTAAATTATCTGGCTTTTAATACCGTCTTTACTTCACCCCAGTTACTTTGAGACATATTTATCTCTGTGAGCATCAGTTCTTTTAACACAGAAAGAGCATATTAATTGCTTTCAGGACTCAATTAGAACATGCACACCAGGTGCCTGGGGCTGTAGCTCAATGGTAGAATAGTTGCCTAGCATGTTTGAGTTTCCGGGTTCAATCCCTGCATGTCCCTCCTCCCCTGAAAAAAATCCAACAGTGAAACTTACGAAAAATGTCTTGGTGCATGCTAGCCATCAATAAATGTTAGAAACTGTCCTGATTGTCACCTTGTTTGGGGGCTGCCATCATGGTAGCAGAACCACCATATCTCATATTTGGATGTTTTCAAGAAATAAAATAGCTTAGAATTGATTTATGTTGCATGGGAATATCAGTCAGTCCTGCTTATTCTAGTTAAACTGCCTGGCAATTTCATCCCTACTCAAGTATGTTCCTGTGCCTGTGCATGTGCGTGTGCGTGTGCGTGTGCGTGTGCATGTGCGTGTGCGTGTGTGTGTGTGTGTGTGTGTGTGTGTGTATACACATATATGTGCATGTGTGTGCTTTCGTGTGTGTGCGTTGCTGGACAAACCTAAGGCTCCACATAAGGCTCCTACCACTCTACCACACACCCTGTCTCACTTCCACTGTTTGTGTGCTTAATCAAACCATCAATACTTGAGAAAAGGCCGTTGCTCTTTAATTACCAGTTGTAAACTTAGATGGGAGTAAAGGGAAGTGCGAAAATTAAAGTGAGCTGGATTGATGTACTCCTTTGTATAGTTTTAAGTAGAGTTGTTTAACACTGATATATGATTAACCGTCCTGCTTCTGACTCCTGGGAAATGGTTCTTTGTCAGTGTGGTAGTTCTGAGAGCTCTGCTTTTCCTTTAGCAGGTACTGGTAGAAGCTGAAGCAGATTAACTGTCCCAGGGATGGTGGTGACGAACGCAAGGTATAGAAGCCAGAAGTCCATTTCACCTGGCTGAAATGGTAAGATAGAATAGGTTATTAAATTATGAAAATACTCAGAATTTAAGGAGAGTTTAAAACAAAATAAAACTCATGGTAATTTGGGAAGTGACTGCTGGGTGTAACTGGGCGTCTGGGACAGACACTCCACTTCTGGTTACATACATATGGCACTCCAGCGAGCCGCCCATACATCCACATGAAGTCTGAGAAAGCTTTAAAAAAAGCATTCTAGAACACATAAACAGAGCCAAAAACAGCTTCCTAGTTGTGTCTCTCATGAGGACTGTGGTACAAAGACACAGCGGCGGCAAGCAGGCTTGAGCTACCGTGTGACAGGTTCCTGCAGCTTCACACAAGCCACGCCCACGGTACAGATTCAGACATGAAGTCCTCTAAGGGGTCACAGTATGTTTAAAAGATGTGGGTAGGCTTAAGAGAGAAACAAAAGGATATATAAAGCCTTAGATTAAAAATATAGATTTAAAATAATAAAACAAAGTTCTTAGAAGGGGGAATAAAGTAATATAAAGGAAATGAGTCACATGAGGATGGAAAATACACAGAGATTCTGTATTATATATGTTATTGGGTTTTCTTTGGATTTTTTGACTGTTAATGAGCTAATTGCTGAGAGACATTTGATTGTGGGGGCTGCTAGGTTAAACTAACCTATATATTTTGAAAATATCTTGACTTCAAAATTTGAGTCTGGGGATGTTTTGTTTTGGGGAGGTTCTGCTTTTGTTTCCACAGAAGGTGAGAGACTGTGGGTTCCTTCTGAGTTAATAAAATCAAGTTTGGTTGAGGAAGACCTCATCAAAATCGTGACTACAGACATGGGAAAATAAACCTAAAGTAATGACAAGACACATGACATATATTTTACTTGCTCAAAACATAAAACAAAAAATTTATCTTTGGCTGGCTTTTGTATAATATTCAGTTTATATTTATATTAATATGGATACATATGTTACCTTTAAAGTTTATATATTTTCAGAACAAGGGGGCCATACACCAATAAAAATGGAATGCCCAGATGATCCAATGCTTCAATACACCTCTGTTACAGTTTCCTCTGAGTTCTGCATCCCAAACAGCTTTAAGGCTGTTGGCTGAGATGAACCAGCCACACAAAATACCCCAGTCAGGACTTAGCCATAATTCTAAATTTTCTCAGGGTTCCCATAAGATTACCGGTCTCCCAAATCAACAGGAATTAGTCTAAAAAACTATGCCCAAATTCCCAAAATATTGTTTATGAATGTTTATTTTCATTTAAGGGTGGTTGACTATAAATTGTTAATGGTCATAGTCAATCTCTTTCTAAGGAAGAAAGGAGATATGATACAGAAAAGATACAGAAAAGATATAATGGGGCAAAAGGTAGATTATCATGATAAAAATGGTGGATTATTAAGTCTACTTTAATCCAGAAAAAGTTGTTAATCTAAAAATATTTTACATTGGTATGGATTTTAGTTTGTTGATACAAATTAAAAGTCAATTTTGTTATACTGTATGTATATTTCTACTCTTGTTTAAGGTGTTATGTTTATGCAGCTCATTTAAAAATGTAATGTATGTGGACACCAGACCGACAGCTGGGGTGCCTGCATGGGTCCAAACTAGGACCTCTGCATATGGATGATAGTCTTGTAGCATGATCTGTTTGTGGGACCCCCCCTTGCAATGGCACCAGGATCTATCCCTGATGCATGAGCTGGCTTTTTGAAGCCCATTTCATATGGTGGGATGCCTTGCTCAGCCTTGATATAGTGGGGAGGGGCTTGGCCCTGCCTCAACAGAGTGTACCAGGCCTTGTTGATGCCCCATGAGAGGTCTTATCCTTTCTGAGGAGTGGATGGGGGTGAGTTGGGGGAGGTAAAGAGAGATTGCGAGGAGGGAAAACTGTGGTTGGTATGTAAAATGAATAAAAAAATTAATTAAAAATGCAATGTATAATTAAAAAATACAGGTTAATAGTCATCTATAGTAGTCAAACTTCAAGCTATATTAGTTAGGTTTTCTAGGTATACAAAGATACATTTCAATTAGATAGGCAATATTCAAATACTTCAAAGATCTATAAAATATGGCATTTAAATTTTTTTAAGAACATAGACTTTTCTCAACGAGACACGTCTGCTCCTGGCAGAACCAACTACTTCAAAGAGGATGATGGGCACCAAAGAAGCTCCTTATGGACTTTACTTTCAATGAGTCAAGGCTAGCCATTTGGGCAAGAAATTGCTCTTGCCTGGTCTGCTTGACAGTATGTTGTATAAACTCTGCATGCAGGACCCATAGGAAAGTGACCATTGAACTTTGCTAATACAAGATAGGATGGTCCTTCAGGGTTCCTCCTTCACAGAAAAAACTGCCACACATTCTGCAGGACACAGAGGAAAGTGTCTGATGAACTTTGCCAATACAAGACAGGGCAGTCCTTCAAAATTCCTGCTTCACTGAAAAGTCTGCCAGATACTCTAGGCCTGCAGATTGAAGACAGATGTTCTAACATTACAGAAGAACTTTGGCTGATTGTCCAGGCAGATAGATGTTTCTGTCATTTCTAGAGTTCTGGAAGTTGTTTACAATGCACTTACTGTTTATTCAGGTAATATATCCTTCTGGGGTCTTTGATGGAGTTGAAGACTAGATAGTTATAATTATAGTTTACCTTAGTTATGATAAAAGGTAAATTAGATATGAGACTTTAAATTCACAAAGATAGGATAAATAGAGTATTTTCTTTAATTTTGTCAAATTAAAGAAATAGACTGGATATTGTAACTGATTCTTACTTGATAACTGTTTTTGTTGTATATAATTTTACTATGTTGAAGTTAAAATCTTCCTTTTTGAGTAAACAGAAAGTGAGAAAAGCTGTGAGAGGATCCTTCTGTATGCTGTGAATACGTGTGTTTCTCATTGGTTGAAAATAAAGTTGTTTTAGCCTATAGCCAGGCAGAATAAGGTTGGGCTGGAAAGCCAAATGGAGATACAGGGAGAAGGGTGGAGTCAAAAGAGATGACTACCAGCCACCAAGGAAACATGAGGTGTAGAAAATGAGGTAACAAGCCACAGACCATGTAGCAAAGCATAGATAAGAAATATAGGTTAATTTAAATGAAAAGTTAGCTAGTAATAAGCCTGAGCCACTGGCCGAGTATTTATAAGTAATATAAGCTTCTGAGTGGTTATTTGGGAACTGACGGGTGGGAGAGGACTGTCTGGGATGGGTGAGACAGAGAAAAACCTCTGGTTACAGGTAAGATACATTGTATTATTAAATTATGACAATACTCAGAATTTGAGGAGAGTTTAAAACAAAATAAAACTCATGGTTTTATTTTTAGAGTTAGAAAAGTATAATTACTATTCTGTACTGCTTATAATAATAAGACAATAGCTTTATAGTTCCTTTTTAATTAAAATATTAGTGTGTGTGTGTGTGTGTGTGTGTGTGTGTGTGTGTGTGTGTGTGTGTGGTGGGGCATATGCATACTGTAGTTCACGAGTGAAGTATAGAGGGCAACTATTGTTGACTTCTACCATATGAGTTCTGGGGGTAAAACTCAGGTTGACAGCAAGTGCCTTTACCTTCTGAGAAATGTTGCTGGCCCAGCTTTACAGTTTCTTTATTGTATTATTAATCATTTACTTACTGGCTTTTCTACATTTGAATGTAATTCTCCCTGACCTTCTGAATTGTGTATCCTCCAAAGTATTTTAATAGACTGAATTATTAAATCATAAAAAGTTTAAAATATTCCTTACTTATATAACCCCTGTTTTTCAAGTTTCCTAATTAAAGAAGAAAAAA